CGGAAAAGATCCGCCCACTAATTACTAACAAAATCTTTCCTCTTCCCAATGAAGCACTTTCCTCTTATGAATCATTGAAATCCGAGCTAATTCAAGCACTACTGGTTGCAGTTGATAAAAACACACTACTAGTGGTCGAGACCGATGCCTCCGAAATGGCAATCTCTGCTACACGCAATCAAAGTGGTCGCCCCGTGGTTTTCTTTCACGCACCCTGTCACCCTCAGAGCGAAATCATTCTGCCGTAGAGAAAGAAGCCTACGCAATAATTGAAGCCATTCGAAAGTGGAGGCACCACCTACTGGGTACCCACTTCAAATTGGTTACTGATCAACGCTCCGTGTACGATATGAAAGTCAGCAGCAAAATCAAGAACGACAAAATACAACCCTGGCATATCGAACATTTCCAATTCTCATAAGATGTGATATACCGCCCAGGTTCGGAGAATCCTGCAGGCGACGCTTTATGACGAGCATTCTGCGCAAGAACTCACTCAGTCGATGAACTGAAGCGACTTCACGACAGTCTGTGCCACCCCGGTATCATGCGTTTCTACCATTTTGTCCGCACAAAAATTTTACCCTTTTCTCTCGATAATATCAAGGTGGTAACTCAACAATGTTCTGTTTGTGCACGCCTAAAACCCAAGTTTCACATACCACCCAACAGTCCCTTTTTTAAGGCTACACAGCCTTTTGAACGCCTCAGCGTTGATTTCAAAGGCCCAAATCCCTCTTCCGCTCGAAATCACTACATTTTGACAATTATTGATGAGTATTCCCGTTTTCCGTTTGCCTTCCCCAGTCCAGATATGACTGCTCGCACTATCATTTCTCGTTTAACTGAGTTATTTTCCTTATTTGGCCTGCCGCACTACTTACACTCCGATCAAGGGGCGTTTTTCATGTCTCAGGAACTGAAGACGTCCCTTCACGACCAAGGAGTAGCTACTAGCAGGACGACGAGCTATAACCCTCAAGGTAATGGCTAGGTTGAAAGGCTGAATGGAACCATCTGGAAAACCGTATCCCTGTGCCTCCGTTCTAAGGGTCTGGCGGTTGATCAATGGGAGTTGGTGCTACCTGATGCCCCCCATGCTATCAGATCATTACTCTGTACGACTATCAACGCAACGCCTCACGAACGTATGTTTCTCCACAATCGAAAATCTGCTGTTGGCACCAGTTTGCCCCAGTGGTTATTAACACCTGGTCCTGTACTATATCGAAGAAACGTTCGATTTCTAAAGTATGACCCCATGATAGAGAAAGTTGTATTACTGGAGAACAACCCCAAATACGCTCACATACGTCTCCCTAATGGACGAGAAGAAACAGTATCTCTTCGTCATCTCGCTCCCGTAGAACGACCAAGTTCATCGCCGCCCATCCGCTTCCCAGAGACTTGTACCGAATTCCCCCCCCCACCTGATGACATGTCATGCACCTCAGATTCACACACAGTTCTGTCCAACCCGGTGAAACTTCTTAGTGAACCAGAAACAAGCGTTGAAGACCTTTTATCTAAACAACAGAGGGTGAGACCTTATTGCCTTCGAAACCGTGAGGTTTAGCAAAGCACTCTGCACTACTTATTGTGAACACTTCCCATTCTCAGTCATCGGGATACCCAAAACAAACTTCATCGTGATCTTCGTTTTCTGAGTGACGGTTAATGTCGTAGATTTATTATTGTCTTTTCTGTTGCATAGATTGCTGTTATTCTGGGCGAATATTCTAACATTTCGCTTGTCCCGTCTTAGCTCTCATGCCCCGTTTTTGATCGATTAAAGCCTACCATTAAGGCGTCGTCTTCTGGCTTGTCTGCCGACTAAACGTGTGATCTGATACACTACAAGTTCTCGTCAATCATATAAACTACTACGTTACATACGTTAACCTACTGAGGTCACTGTACTCACAGACCTCCGGTCGTGTAAGGGTTTACAACAATCTAAGTGGGCCGCTCATCACCAGCAGCACCCTCCGTCAAAGATGTCCTCTTCCGTCGTTCCTGTTCAACTTCGTCGTAGACGAAATACTAGAGAACACATTAAGTGAACTCCAAAGCGTAGGTATTGAATGAGCGGCTGTACGATTTGAAGTACGCCGATGACATCATCTGTCTGTTCGAATGTATGGAGAACGCGCAAAGTGAACTTGATAGATTAACAAGTGCAGTTGCCACATTCGTATGTGCTTTGCACCTTCAAAGTGCCAAGTGCTGCTGCAGGACTGGGTTTCGTCTACTCCCGTTCTGAAACTAAATGTCCAGGAATTAAATGTGGTAGATTGCTTTTCCTACTTAGCTAGTTGCGTGACCAATGACGGTGGTGCAGCAAAGGAGATAACCGCCTGCATTTCCAAGGTTCGAGTAGCATACGCAGGACTGAAACACCTTTGGCGTAGACGCGACGTCTCACTGAAGCTGAAAGGTCCTGTGTATTGTGCTGGCGTTCATTCAGTCCTGCTTTATGGCTGTGAGAGACCCTGTGAGACCCTGAATTTGCGAGTAGAAGATATCCATCGACTGGAAGTTTTGATCATCGGTGTTTACGTAGTTTAGTCCACGATGTATAGAGCTAACGGGTTAGTAACGTGGAGGTAAGCCGTCGTGTGTTTGGGAGTCTATCAGGTATAAACCTACTATTACAGCGAATTCAGATAAGTAGACTTCGTTGGCTAGGGCACGTATTGCATATGCCCAGCTACCGTCTTCCACATTGCGCCTTATTCGCTGTAGC